TTGCATATATATCTGTACTTGGCGATTGCGGAGGATTCCGCTTCTTCCCTTCTTTTACTTTTTTGTTCATCCAATAAGTTAGTTACCACGTAGGACGGTATTCATAGTCCATTCTTATTTTAAGACTGTCTTAAGTAATGTTTTTAGATACTAGTACAGTTCTCTGATTGATTTATCTGATTGACATCTTAAAATTGTATTTGAGATCTTAAATATAAGATGCGACTATGAATACCATAGTTTCTGAAGATGGAACCACCGGTCCTTAAATATAAGAAAACTGATTATGAATATCGGTCATAGTTTGTGATTCTATTCTATCTAGATGAATCTAATTTGTTGTTATTTTTTTTTGTTACTTACAGAAAATCCTAAACAGACCAAGTTAATATTTCAAAAACTTCCAGTATATATGCGTAGACGTGTCATGTCTCATAATGCCAAAAGATTGCCACGTAGATTACGAGAGGCACATTTAGCACAAATGGTAAAATCAGGAAATGGCAAAGATTTACCATCCATAAACAAACGATTGTCTCGGAAGTATCGTAGAAGACCACGCAATTTACTTTCCGAATATAATCGCAGACAACGCGATAAATTGTGGTTAGAAACGCATATCTGGCATGCAAAACGTTTTTACATGATTGACAAATGGGGATATAGAATTGCTAGTCATTCAAATGATAAAAGTTTTAGAGCCAATTATCGAGCCGCTACAAAATATTGTCTTTTACAAGATATTTCTTACTATACTTGTATTGAAATAACAGGAGAAGAAAAATTATTAAAGACAACTTTGATAACACATTGTAACACATCGATGTTAACTTTCACAGCGAAAAAATATATTAATGGCCATAGAGAAGGTACTTTAATGTTTTATAAGAAAAATGGTTATCCACAATTTCCTATTGGTAATGTGGATTTTTTCTGGCAACCAAACAAATCAGATATCCAAACAAATGTCAGGACTATTTGGATCTGGGTACACCCTGCTTTTTATGACGATTTTCTTAATGAAATTATATCAAGTTTTGAATTTAAGCAGAATAATGTCGAACAAGAAGTAGCTAGTACTATCCATAATTTGAACTGTTTGTACACGAATAATGTAGGTTGTACAATGATTATATTAAGAAATGCATTAAATAGATTTCGGCTTCGTGGAGCATTAACTCTAAATGTACTAACAAAAGCATTACAATTGCCATCCTTAAATAAATTAGATTTTTGTACGGATTATACTATTCTAAAAGATAATGACGACTCATTAAGGAATAAAATGATAGACACGAGTATAACATCAGATAATGTGCAATCTACAGAGAAAAAAGTGATTGACAAAATAAATGAAGATATTACGATTTCTAAATATCTAAATACAGAACTTGGTAAAAATGCATGGTATATTAATTACTACAAAAAAAAAGAAAATAAGGAGGCTTTCAAGGTGCAAGAACAATTATGGCAAATACTGATGTCTTTGGGATCATCAAATTACTTACCAGCAAATATGATTATTGGAGTAACTATTTTAGATCCACGCTTCTATTTATCTGAGAAAAGAACAAAATGTAATACTGAAATAACAGAAACATTTTCTCGATCGATTCTAGTTGATCGATTAGTAACTAATTCTAATTATTCTCCTATTTGGGATACAGAAATACGTCATATTGTAAGCAGTTCTTGTATGCCTACAAACATTATTAACAAACTCAGAAGTGAATGTCTTGTGCCTGGTGTGTCAAACGATCAATATTATACAGAGGACATTATGGCAAAGATACCTATACTTCTTATTCAGAAACCGGGAACTATTACAGGTATATAATGTTTATATAATTCTTGATGTTCTTTGTAAGAATATATTTAAGATCCATCTATATGTATACATATATATCCATTTAGAATCCATCTATATGTATACACACATATATATACACACGCGTGCGTGCGTGTACATATGTATATATACGTATATATACAGGATGTTAGTTAAGTTGCCATACTCAACAGAGCGATTCTTTGATTTATTTCAAGTAAAAAAGTCCATATAAACATGTGTCCTAAACGGCTTAGTTTCCGAAATACAAATGAATATTCGCAAATGTTTGACGAAACGGTGAATTACATTGGAGATATTTTCCTGCATAAATATGCCTTTCTTCACGTGAGTTCACATGTTACCATTCACACAATCGTAAACAAAATGATAAAGTCAAAGTCAAAGCCTCCTAGATCACCAGACTTAAATCCTTTGGATTATTTGTTTTGTGGGCATCTGAAATCATTGATTTATACCATCCCAATTGAGAATGAGAATAATTTGAGGAATCGAATAGTTGCTTCATGCGAGGCAATATCTAACTCCTGATATTTTCGAGCGTGTACGTCAATCTTTAAGAAGAAGGCTCGATGGATGTATCATGGCGCAAGGTGGACATTTTTAACAATTCATCTGATTGTTTTATTTCATCGGAAGAACTGAAGCTTGTTTTTGTTTATCTGTCTAGTTTGACTAGTTTTTGATTAGTTTCAAACTGTATTTCTTTCAAATAAACAGATTATTACTATACGTTCAAATTTTTTTATTTCGGAAACTAAGCCATTTAGGACATATGTTTATATGGACTTTTTTACTTGAAGTAAACC